TTAATGTCCCACTGGCACGAAACAGAGTTCTTTTTATTTGTGTGTGTGCCCATGCACACGGGTAGGGAGGTGCTAAAAATGGAAGCTCTCCAGTATCTGCCAAAAAGACTCAAGCATCCCCTGGGTTCAGGCCCAATAAAACCATGCTAGGGCGTGAGTCTGAAGGAAACTGCCAGAAGAAGGGAGAAAACTCTTAACGCGCAGATATGGCCACCAGGGCATTCGTCCGAATTGAGAAGTTCATATTACCCGTCAGCCCCCTGGGGAAATAGGTCTGCTCTGAAACGTGCACAAAAACTCCAGGTGGGGCTGTAGTCTGGCCATTCTCACAACTGCATGAAATAAAGCTCCCGGACACCTCCCTTTTCACCCAACAGATTGGCCCAAATTAAAAAGATGGAGGATGCTCCCTGCTGGCGAGGATGTGAGGAGAGGGGCACCTCCAGCCACCCTGAGGGGAATTCGCACTTCAATTTCGCAGCATCTTTCAAGATGCAAAGTGTGTGTGCACTCACTCAACAACCTTGTAAAACTTTCTCTTGAAGCGTAAGGGCCTGGTGAATTTCCCCAGGACACAAAACACGCCTGGCCACCAGCATGCAGACAGAAACAAACCATGGCCAGCCCGGGCCCCCAGGGCGACCAGCACTCTGACCCCTCACACCATCGCCTAGCGTTGCCCGTTCTAGAACCTCATAAGAACGTGCTCTCCTATGCCTGGCTTCTTTTGCTATCCTGTTGCGTGGAGCTGTGGTTTATTCATTCTGTTGAATGAATTCATCACACTTTAATCTGTTCTTTTGTTGATGGGCAGTTGGCTGGGTTCCAGCTACAATAATAATGCCGCTATGGACACACAGTCCGTGTGGCTTTGGGTGAACCCATCTGTGCCTTTCTGTGGAGTACGTGCCCAGGGCTGGAGCTGCTGGCTCACGGGACACACAGGGGTTCAGTGTTAGCAGATTCTTTGCAATGGCCTTCCAGAGTCGTTTTACTAATGTATGCCATGCATAAGACCTTTGATTAGCCATGCTAATGATACTGTAATATTTATTGCAATTGTACTTGCATTTCCACGATGCCTAATGATGTCGAGTATCTTTTCATGGGCTTATTAGCCATTTGTTTATCTACTTTTCTTTTTTTAAAGACTTTATTTATTTATTTGACAGAGACACAGCGAGAGAGGGAACACAAGCAGGGGGAGTGGGAGAGGGAGAAGCAGGCTCCACGCAGAGCAGGAAGCCCGTCGCGGGGCTCAATCCCAGGACTCTGGGATCACGACCCGAGCCAAAGGCAGACACTTAACGACTGAGCCACCCAGGCGCCCCTGTTTATCTACTTTTCTTAATTTATTTTGACTCTTATAAAGGAGTTGTCTTCCTGATTTGAAAGAGTTCTTTATATTACGTATATAGTTTACAGGGAGCCTGCTGGCTCAGTTGGTAGAGCATGTAGTTCTTGATCTTGGGGTCGGAAGTTCGAGCCCCAGGTTGGGTGTAGAGTTTACGTAATAATAAATTTTTTAAAAATATATATACGGTTGAGGGGCGCCTGGGTGGCTCAGTCATTAAGCGTCTGCCTTCGGCTCGGGTCATGATCCCAGGGTCCTGGGATCGAGCCCCGCATCGGGTTCTCTGCTGGGCAGGAAGCCTGCTTCTCCCTCTCCCACTCTCCCTGCTGTGTTCCCTCTCTTGCTGTGTCTCTGTCAAAAAATAAAATCTTTAAAAAATATATATATATATATATATACAGTTTATATATTTATATAATATATATAGTCCTTTATATATATGTGTGTATATATATATACACACATATATATAAATTTGTCATGTGTGTAGTGAGTATTTCCCCCAAGTCAATGCTTGATTTTTTAATTTCTTTCACCCTATGACCTCATTTTAACTGGCTCATCTGCCAAGATCCTATCACCAAATAAAGTCACATTCATAGGTCCTGGAATTAGGACTTGAGTATATCTTTTTGCGGGACACAATCTAAATCCTATCATCCCCCTCCCCCGTAATCCACCCTCTGCATGGCCGCTCAGCACAAAGCACACAGAAGACTCTGTCCTTTCTCTGCTCAAAATCCTTCCGAGACAATGGAATAATATCCCGCCATAAAAAGGAACGAAGCATCGAGACACACTACAACATGAAGGAACCTTAAAAATTCTATGCTGAGTGAAAGAAGCCAGACACAAAAGACCATATAGTGGGGGTGCGCTTCAGCTCAGGCCCTGATCTCAAGAGTTGTGAGGTCAATCTGCATCGGGATCAGCACTCAGCATGGAGTCGGCTTGAAACTCTCTCCCTCTGCCCCTTCCCTCTTTCTAAAATAAATAAATCTTAAAAAAAAAAAAAAAAAAACCCATATAGTGTATGATTTCATTTCTATGAAATGCCCAGAGCAGGCAAATCCATAGACCCAGAAAGTGGATCATAGCTGCCCGAGGTTGGGAGTTGGGGTGGCGGGGGAGTGGCTGTTGAGGGGTAGAAGGTTTCTTTCTTGGGGTAATGAAAATGTTCTACAGTTGGGGCGCCTGGGTGGCTCAGTCGTTAAGCGTCTGCCTTCGGCTCAGGTCATGATCTCAGAGTCCTGGGATCGAGCCCCGCATCGGGCTCCTCGCTCTACGGGAGGCCTGCTTCTCCCTCTCCCACTCCCCCTGCTTGTGTTCCCTCTCTCGCTGTGTCTATCTCTGTCAAATGAATAAATAAAATCTTTAAAAAAAAAAAGAAAATGTTCTACAGTTGATTATGGTGATGGCAGCACAACTCTGAATAGACTAGAGCCATCGAACTGCACACTTTAAATGGGAGGGTTTTAAGGTAGTGAATTACATCTCAATAACGCGGTTACAAACAAACCCGCCTTGCATGGCTCCCCAGCGCCCTCTGGAGGGAGCCCGGGCTCACTGCCTGCCCCACATTCACCGGCACCCGAGCTGAAATGACCCAGAGTCTCGCTGTCCTGGAAACAGAGCTCCCAAGAGCCTACAAAGCTACACGCAGAGAGACACCGCCGTGGACTCGTTCAAGGAGGCCCCCAGTTATAAAGATGACCCGCTTTGCCACACAATCCCCCCCAGACTCAGGTAGCGACGGCCAGAATCTCATAGTCGCAAACACACGAGCTGGACGGAGGCACGACGTGACAGACGCAGCCGGGGACCCGGGCATTTGTCGGGGACACGCGGGCGCTGGGCGGGGACAAGCTCAGCCGCGAACACGCTCCGCGCCGACCGCCCCCCGCCCCAGCCCGCCAGGCCCCGCCCCCCGGCCCCGCAGACCCGGAGGGGTCCCCACCTCCCAGGGCCCGAACCCGCGGCGGCCGCTGCTTCCTCACCCCAGGAAACGGGGGAGGTATTTTTAGTTACAATTAACCTCCCGCCCAATTTCCCTCCTCCCCGGTGGCACATCCAATTGGTTTAATTAGAGAGGACTCAGCGAGAGGCATTTACGGTCACCGAGCAGGTGGAGGGGGAAGCGGGAGGGGAGCTGCCTCTCCCCCCTCGCCCGTGTCCCGGGTTCCCCCATCCCCCCAACAGGCAGCGCCTCAGGAATGCGCCGGCCTACCCCTCTCAACCCCCCGCCGCCGACCTCGGCCCGGCCCCGCCCCCTCCCCAGGGCCCTCCCCGACCTGCGCTCGCAGGAGGGCCGGGAAGTCCTTCCTGCTCTCTATCATTCATCCATGCCACTTCAGTCCTGCGGAGTTTGGCGGGAAATAAACACGAATCCTCGTCACCAAAATCATAGCTAACACAGAGAATAATAGTTCATGTTAGGCCCTTTCAAAATCAGACTCTTAGAATTCTATTTTTTTAAATAAAAGGGCGCGCGGGCGGAGTGCTTAGCACGCGGGCTTCAGAGGTGCCAGGCTGCCGGTTTGAATGGAGATCCAAACTCTCCAGCTGTGTGGCCCTGGGTGGGCTCAAGTTCACCTCTCTGGCCCTCGGTTTCCTCATCTGGGAAATGGGGACAGCCATCGCACTTCCTTAGTGGTAAGGGCGTACCAGGTGGGTAGGTACGGAGCTCCTAGAACGCAGCAGGTAACTCCCACCCCCACGCCGCTCTATTATTTACAACCTCCTGTCACCTCGCAGTATAAACCATGTGCTCGTTTGCTCAGCCCTTTGTGGGGGTCCCCCACACTAGGACGCCAGCTCCCGAGGACAGGGGTCTTCGCCTTGCTCACGGATGAGCCCGGAGAGCAGAGTGCGGACCCTGGAGACACCTGTGGCCTGAGTGAATGAGGCTCAGCTGCCCCGTTTCCTCTGCCCTCCACCAGTTGTCCCCTGCGCACCTGCTGCGCGCCGCGCGCTGGCAGGGCTGAGGTTCAAGCCAATACGGAAACAGGCGAATTAGTGACAGAGAGAATTCCAGGGAGGGGACGTTAGGAGGAAAAGGGATGGGGCAATAAAGGAGCGGCAGACAGAAGAGGGGTGCTTTGATTGGGCTGCTCCTGCATCTTTGCCGAGGGGATTCTGAGCTGGGGAAGGTGATCCAGGGCAAAGGGAGCCGCCAGGACGGAGGCGCAGAAGGAAGACTGAGCTATTTGCCACAAACAAGGGTCCAAACCCAAGCAACTTACAGTTTGCACTGAGCTCCACGGCGTCTTGGGAACAAAACAGCCGAATCGGCAGACCCTGGAGTTGGCAGCAACTGAGGCTCCCACGAGGGAGGTTAGATCCACGTGCACTTCGTTGGGGAGGGTAAAGGCCTCTGTGGGTCACAGGCCTAACAGGGCCTCAGTTTCCGTGTTTGCATTATGAGGGTCCAGAGGCTGCTGTATCTTAGAAGGTGTGTATGTGAGGGGTGCCTAGGTGGCGCGGTCGGTGGAGCCTCAGACTCTTGATTTGGCTCAGGTCAGGATCTCAGGGTCGTCGGATCCAGCACCCAGAGTGGGTGCAGTCTGCTTATGCCTCTCCCTCTCCCTCTGCCCCGCCCCTGCCCCTCCCCTAACCCCACCCTCACGCGCATGCTCTCTTTCTCTCTATAATAAAATCTTAAAAAAAACGAAGATGAGTAGGTCAGTGAGTGGTGTTTGGAGGTGGGCTCTGAGGGTCTCGTGCGTCCAAGCGCGGGTCTGCTCAGTCCAAGTGAGGATCACGGAGCTGGTAGGGAGCAAAGCGGGGATTTGAACCCCGGGCATGTTGGGCTGGAGTCTGGGTTCATGACCTCTCTGCTGGGCAGTCTGCTGGTCTGTTGGCCACACATGAATGTTTCCAAGGACAGCCCTGGGTAACTGTGTTTGTGTCCCTTGGGACTGCGAGCCACAGTGTGGGAGATTAATGCAAAAGTGGCCATTTTTCTTCATCCCTCCCCATGTCCCCATCTCTTGTGCTGTGAGTTTGCAGCCCCCCATCCCCAGCCTGTAAGGGGTGGAGTCTATGTCTCCTCCCTTGAATCTGGGCTGGCCTTGAGATTTGTGGCCAAGATAATGCAGCTGAGATAACCAGGTCAGACCTGAGCTGGGGCCTCAAGAGGCCACAGATACACAGCAGAACCCTGTTGAAGTTACAAGAACTGCCCAGCAGAGCCTAGTAGATTAGCCCATAGAATTTTAGCCCGTAGAATTATTAGCCCTAGTATTTTAGCCCATAGAATAATGAGCTAAAAAATAGTTGGCATTTGAACCACAGAGCTTTGGAGTGGCTTGTTACACAGCAATAGCTAATTGATAAAGAGTGCCTGAGGACAGTGAGGATTAAGAGTACCAATGATTGGGACGGCTGGGTGGCTCAGTCGGTAAAGCGGCCGCCTTCAGCTCAGGTCATGATCCCTGCCTGGGTCCTGAGTTCGAATCCCGCATCAGGCTCCCTGCTCAGCGGGAAGTCTGCTTCTCCCTCTGCCCATTTCCCCTGCTTGTGCTCTTGCTCTCTGTTTCTCTCTCTCTCTGACAAATAAATAAGTGAAATCTTTAAAAAAAAAAAAGAGTATCAATTATTATTATAATTGGTGATTCATGAGCTTCAAATTGATGAGAATTTGAATCTCGAAAGAGACACAAGAACTCAGATTGGTGCCTTTTTGTTTTTAAGACTTTATCATTAAAAAAAAAAGGTAGAAGACTTCCATGAAGGGAGGTAGGGGAGAGAAGGGGTGGGGAGTGGGCTGGGAGGACAAGGGGACCTCTTCCAAATGTCGGATCCGGCTGACCCTCCTTCCCTGACCTCCCCAGCCCACCGCCAGTCCCTTCTCTGGCCTGGAGGCGGGGGACCCCCAGCCACCATCTTCTGAAGACCCAGGCCCGGGATCTCAGCTTGGGTTCCAGGCAGAGGTGAGGGCAGAAGCGGGGCACAGGGTATGGGGGCCTTGTCTTTGTCCTTGAGAGACCCTCGAGCGGGCGCTCACGCCCCCATGTCCCAGTGGGGCCCCAGGGAGGTAGGCATTGCATTGGGGGCCTTAGGAGGTGGGGTCCTGAAGTCAGAGGGCCAGGTGGGGACCAGAACCAGGTGTGAGCCTGGTGGTCACAGTCCAGAGGCTGGAGTCTGTGGAGAGGGGACGAGAGGCCACGTCAGGAAGTGGAGAGGGGTCTGGCCCCACATCAGCCCCATAGTGAGAGGAATGCAGAGGGAGGGAGGGAAGCAGAATAGAAACAGAGGTGGCAGAGAGAGAGATGAGGTCCTCTGACACTCAGACCAGGCCACACCTGTCCTCGGTTGGTCAGGCCAGAGCTGAGACCCCCACCGACCTGCCAGGCTCCGGACAAACATGTCCATCTCTCCTTCCCAGGCTCCATGCCTAAGCCCTCCTAGGTCTCCACTCCCATCTCCCAGCCTTTCTGTTGGCCCCAAGTTCATTACTCACCCACCCATCCTGCTGGCGCCAGCCCAGCCCAGTCCTCCTTCCCCCTCATTGGTGTGTAGGCAGTGGTGATGGGGGCGGGCTGCTGTCTCATAGCCATGAGTCTGCTAAGTGCACTGGGCCTTTGCATATGCTATTTCCCTCCTTTCCTGCCTCACTCCTTCCATTCTCCTGGTCTCAGCTCCCAAGTTCCCTCTTCCAGGAAGTCTTCCCTGAATGCCCCCAGCCTGGGTCTGATGCCCCCTCTGGGCTCCTCCAGTTCCTGGGTTCCCTCATCCCAGCCCTGCTCACTTTGGGTCATCACTGTCTGAAGACAGGTCTGTCTCCCCTGCTGGACAGTGGGCCCCGTGAGGGCAAGGCTGGGCTGTCATGGTCACTGCTATGTCCCAAGTACCAGCCAGGCCAGGGCCAGGCACAGAAGTGCTCAGGGAATGTGCATTAAATGAATGAAGGAATGAAGAGGTGCTAAACTAAAGAGTCTGGACTGCATCTAGAGGGCACTAGGAAGGCACAGAAGAGTTTTAATCCAGAGAGAGTCAAGATCTGATTTGTGTTGTAGAATTTCCAGGCAGCCTCTCAACCCTGGGTCTTTGCACATGCTATTCCTTCTGCTTTTCTGAGCTGAGTGAACCTGCACAAGTGAACTCTTCTTTCTGAGCATCAATTTTCTCAACTGTAACATGAAAATAATATTTTCTCCCTCTTGGGGTTTTTATTAAGACTAAGTGAGAAGATGCTCTAAAGCCTTAAGACATGGGAGAGTAAAAGAATGTACCCTACTCCTCTGCCCCCCACTTCTACCCAGTGAATTCCTATTCATCCTTCAGTGTCCTACTCCGAAGTCACTTCCTCTATGAAGTCTTTCCTGATATCTCAGAGATAGGTGATGTCTCTCTCCCCTGAGCAAACTGTGTTTTATTGTTTCAGCTGTTGCTCTGTCATTCTTTCCTGATGTCCACTTCCTCAAAAGCCCAAATCTTCTCAAGAGCAGGACCCTATGTGAGGCTGCTCAATATGCTGGAGATGTATGAATGGGTAGGTGTGTGGATGAATGGGTTTGTAGGTGGGTGGGTGAATGTATGGAGGTGGACATATGAGTGGGCTGATGTATTTTCTGATAGATGACAGGTAGTAAATGCATGCATGAATGGATCATGGGTAGGTAGGTAGGTGAGTGAATGCGTGGATAAGTGGGTGGATGTGTGGGTGGGTGGATCAGGGTGGAGGTGGATGGATGAGTGGGTAGGTGGGTGGATAGATGAATGGATAGGGAGTGGACATTTGTCTGGATGGATAGTAGGTAGGTTGATGACTGATGGATGGATAAATATATAGACAGACAAATGAGCAGATGGATGGATGGATGAATCATCTCCCCAGTAAGCCTTGGAGAACCCTCAGTTCAGGGACCCATGCTGACCCTGCTCTGGGTGAGCCCAATATTGGAACCTGGAGGTCTTACCAAGGTTTGAGAGCCATACAACCCCAACCCAGAACCCCTAGACATTGGACACTCACACTTGTCCTGAATCTATAGATAATGCCACTCTCCTTCTAAGTTCAAACTCATTCCCATCGACCCTGGAAGACAAAAGAGGAAGATTGTGAGTCTTCACCAGACATCCCCATATGCCCCTAAATCTCTCCCACCTGCTCCTTCCCCAGGGGATCCCTCTATCAGGACAGACTGAGTCATCATTTAAGAAAGTACTAGTCCTGGGATGCCCGGGTGGCTCAGTCGGTTGAGCCTCTGATTCTTGGTTTCAGCTCAGGTCCTGATCTCAGGGTCCTGAGACTGAGCCCCGCGTTGTGCTCTACGCTCAGCACAGGGTCTGTTTGTCCCTCTCCCTCTGCTGCTCCACCCCTACCCCACCTCCACCCAGCTCGTGTGTGTGTGTGTGTGTGTGTGTGTGTGTTGCGTTCTCTCTCAAATAAAATAAATAAGTAAATAAAATCTTAAAAAAAAAAAAGGTACTACTCCTTTAAGGAAAAGTAGAACCTTCCAATGGATGGGCAGGGCCTGGAAAGAAGCACCAGGAAATCTGCAATTGCCTCTCCCGCTCAGCTGTTATGCAAATGAAGTACTGCATTATTCATAAACTTAATCCCAGAAGGTGGGACATCTCCATTAAGAGGAGGGGCCTGGTGTGTTGGGGGCATGGCTTAGTTAAGGGGCGGGGACTTACCTGGAGGTCTGACAGTCATGTGCGGCTGAGCTTCCGAGTAGCCCCCCATTGGCTGGCCCTCTGGGCTGAAGACTGCACTCTGACCTGGGAGGGAGGTCGAGGGGTGCAGGCTGAGCCCCAGGATATGCGGGTCCCAGCTTGGATACTCCCCAGGGAACATTAGGCCCTCTCTCCCCACCTTCTCCCCGTACCTGTGCGGTTGGATTGATCGATCATTGGTTGCACGATGCGTCTCCGGGCGTTAATGAACCTGGGAGGGGGTTATGGAAACCGAGCAGGGTGTAAAGAGGGAGTAGGAGAGAGGCAGAAATGAACACACGGAGACAGCTGGAAAGAGAGGACGGGGATGGGGAGGGGAGAGGAGAGGCTCCCAGGGGCTGCGGGGCCTCCTTCAGCACCGCGGACAGCGCCCGGCCTCCCACCCCGGGCTGGCCCACGGACCCGCACAAACCTCCTGGGCCACTCACCAGTTGTTGACTTGCAAGATGGTGAGCCCTGTGTCCTGCGCCAGCTGTTTCTTCTGCTCCTCCGAGGGGTATGGGTGCTGTGGCCACCAGCAAGAGTCACCCTGCCTGCCCAGCAGCCATCTGGTCCCCAAGGCCTGGCCCCATGAGGATGGTGAGCCCAGGCTGGGGCAGGGCCGGGAGAGCCAGCTCTTCGGAGCTGCTCTAGGCTCCCCCAGAGCCCAGTGGAGGGAAGCGGAGCCAAGCTTCGGGCAATTATGCCTGTGGGCGCCCCTGCCTCTTCCAGCCATTAGAGGCTAATTGGCCAGCTCTCATTAGGGAGACCGAAGCTCGGGGTGGGGTCTCCAACACCAGAAAGGAGGCAAAGCCCAGCATGGGGCCCTGTCTGAGTCTCTGTCAGGGTCCTGGTGCATGTCTCTCTCTGTCCCGGTCTCTGTCCCTCTGTGACTCAGTCTCTCCCTGACTCTCTTCCTGTATTTTCCCGGCTCCCTCCACGAGGCAGCATGCTGCACTGGATAAGGCCAAACTGCCTGCATCTGAACACACTTCTGGCTAGGAGACCTCTGGGCTCCTCACCTGCAAAATGGAGCTCCTCACAGCCCCATCCTCATAGGCTCTGTTTGGTGATGATTGTGGAGGGGGCGGGATGTGAATGGGTGGTGGGTTGGGGGCAGGACTGAGTGAGTTCAGAGCCCTAGCAGCACCTGGCACGCAGCTAGTGCTCATGGATGCTTGCTCTTGTTAACCGCCTCCCCTTGAGATTCGCCCTCAGTATCTCCCCCATGCCTCAGTCTCCCATCACTGGGTCTCTCTCACGGCCTCAGTCTCTGTGTGACCATCCTTCTCCTTCTCTCTCTATGCCTACCCTGCACCCGGGCTCCAGGGCTCTCACCGAGAGGTGCTGGAACAGCCAGGCTCTCATGATATTGGTAGCCACCTTGGGGAAGATCCCCCTCTTCTTATTCCGCCGTCGCTCCTGGTCCAGCTCCTCGTCCTCTCCCCCGGAACTGGGAGAGGCCACGCTTGTGTCTAGTCCGTCTCCTGAGGGAGGACAGGCATGCTGTGCTTGTGGGCAGTGAGCGGGGGGACCAGAGGGACCCAGAACCCTCACCCAAGAGACTGCTCCACACCTCTGTCATCCTTGCGCCTCTGGAAGTCCTACTTGCTGTCTAACTTCAATTCTCAGACCAACTCCCACATTTCCCCTCCACCTCCCAGGCGTCTTACCTTGGTCACTGGAGTTGTCCCCACTCTGGGAGGCTAGGCCCCCACTGGATGGACCCGGGGTCCCCAAATGTACAGACCCGCTGTCCTCATGGTCTCTAATCCATGTATTATTCTGGAAAACAAGAGCTAGAGGTCAGTGCCAAGGCTTGGGTGCTCTATAGCGTAGTGGCGGAGACCATGGGCTCTGGGACACCTGAGTGTAAAGCCTGTCCCTGCCTTTCCTGGCTGTGTGACCTTGGGCAAGTTGCTTCAATTCTCTGTGCCTTCGTTTCCTCAACTGGAAAACAGGACAACTCTCCCTACCTCACAGAGCGTGGAAAGGACTCAGTGAGTTCATTCACATAAAGACACATAGCAATCGCCCCATAAAAATGAGCTTATACAGATCCATGACAGCTTATCTGAAATCCTTGGGGACCAGCAGTGTTTCAGAATTCAGAACTTTCCACATTTTTTTTTAATTTATTTTTTAAAGTAATCTCCAACTCACGACCCCAAGATCAAGAGTTGCATGCTCTACCGCCTGAGCCAGCCGGGCGCCCCTAGAACTCTTCGCATGTGTAGACAGTAAATTCGTGCACACACTGTGTATTTCATAACACCCCCAGCAGGGTCTGGGGCTTAACCTCCTCATCAAACTCATTAACATTTCTGCAGCAAGATGGATGAATATTTAACTAAGTGGAATAAATAAAGTCTATAAATAGCCTCTCATTAGTTCAGGTCAGACTTTGCTGCCAAATGAGTTTGCACTAAACTTACGGGGGATAAAAAACAACTTTCAGTTTTCAGCGACAGGGAGGGAGGTGTCTCTGAATTGCAGATCGGGGGAGTTCAGGCTGTGCTTTCTTTATGCAGACTCCGACACACTTTGAAGAACTGGACAATGCATTGGATCTGCCCTCGGCCCCAGTTCCGTGTCCTGGAGGCTGACCTACCTGTATACACTTCATCAACGCCCTTTGTCATTCAGTTTCAGGTTCAGCTCAATTGTTGGGAGGCAGACTGGGTGGGTTCAGCTCTTGTTGAACCCCAGGGTGCCCCACCTGCCCTATTGATTACCCTCAACCCTGCCTGTTGCTTTGTAAGCAGCCCTCCCCACCCCCCCCAACATGGCCCATTGCGGGTGCATCATCTATCCTGCAGGGGCCGGGCTGGAGATGCCACAGCTGAGAAGGTTTCTCCAGGTGTGGTATGTCTGTGTGGAATTGTGTGTTTGATTGCATGATGGACGGGCGAGCGAACTGCGGAACCATCAGTCCGAAGGCTTTTGGGCTTGGCTGCAAGGGTCGCCTCCGGCTCTTCTAGCGCTGGCTCTGATGGGACGCTGTGGGTGAGCGTCCACAGCAGTGTGCCCGAAGCTGTCTTGGGATTATTGTGTGGCAAGTGTCAGTGTGCCCATGCCTGTGTCCCTCTCTGAGATGGCCAGGTGGCTGTATGTGACCATCACGAGGCCACAGTGTTCTAAGTCTGTGTCTGGTGTTCCAGGGCTGGGTTGTCTTCTTTGTGAGACGGTGTGTGTGGTTACCACGCCAGTGGCTTTGTGTCTACACTGGGCTGGAGGATTGCCATGGTGTGTATCGGAGGCTGCCTGAAAATGCGGAATACGGCGATGCCTCTGAGTGGGGCTCTTGCTGCGCATGTGCAGATTGTGCGCTGTGGGGCCGAGGGTCCCCGAGGCCCGTCTGCGACTGCTGTGCGCAGCCGACCCGAGTCTGTGTCGGGGTACGGCCATGTGCCTGTATCTGGGGCAGGGGTGGCCCGGGTCAGGCTCCGCGCGGCTGTTATGGGGCTGCCAACAAAACGAGTCCATCTGCACCTGGGGCCAGGGGCTGTCACGCGGTGAGGGTGGCTCACGTCTGAGTGAGCACAGGCCCTGTGCTCGTGCAGCTCTGGGTCTAAGTGCGGCGCTGTCCAAGTCTGTGCGGCAGGATCTGAGCCGTTTGGCTCCGTCTCCACCGGTGTGACTGTTGTGTGGCTGGGCGTGCTCTAGAAGTGCGGGTCTCGGTCAGGCTGTGCGACGCAGGACGCTGCTCTGCGGCTGGGATGTGTGTGCTTGAGTAGGGGGTATTCGCTCTCATCCAGCTGCGAGGGCGAGCGGCTGTAACTGAGCGTGCGTGGCTGTGTCTGAGGCTCTGTGCGTGCGGCTGCGCCTACGTGTGTGCGTGTGTGCGCATGCGCTGCCATCCAGCTGAGTCCCGGTCTGCGCAACTGTTGCGTCGTTGGCGCATGCCCAGTGGTCAGGCGTGTCTGGCTGAGGCTGCGGGGTGTGTGTGCGCGCCCTCCCGCTGCAGCCCGGCCGTGTCTGCTCGCGGATTTGGTTGCGGGGTGATGCCTGGTGCCCCTTCCCCGGCCCACCTGATCCGGGAGGCTGGGGCAGGAGGCCGGGTAGTCCTCGAGGTCCTCCCTGCAGCCGCCATCCCGATCCTCGATGACCAGGTCGATGGGCATCTTTCCCTTGAGGCAGGTGATGTAGCGGTGACAGAAGTTGTCGCACAGGTCGTGGACCTGAGGGGGCACCGGGGTACTGGGGGGGCCACCCGGGGGCCAGGGCTGGGGTGTAGAAGGATGGGGGCAGCATTCTGCTCCAACTCCAGTGGGCAGAGGGCCTGAAGGAGGGGTGGAAGTGGGGAGAAGGGGAGGGGTGGAGGGCAAGCAAGGGTGTGAGGGGAAGTGAGAAGCACTCACCTTCTCCAGCTCCAGCAGGTGGAAGCGGAGCACCTGAATGGCCTGTATCATCTGAAAATGAAGACAGGAAGAGACAGAGCAGGGGAGAGAGGGAGGGATGGAGGGAGAGGAGGAGGGAGGGAAAGAGAGGGAAAGAGGGAGAAAGAGGGAGAAGGACAAGAGGAGGAGGAGGAAGAGAAAGGAGAAAAAAGGAGAGAGAGGAACAGAAAGAGTGAGATAGAATGGCAAAGACAGAGGACAGGCAGAGAGGGACAGAACCACAGGGGCAGAGAGCAACAGGGAACAGACACAGAGACCCAGAATTAAGGGAAGATGGAATGTCAGAGAGTCAGAGACAGAGAAAGAGAAGCAAGAGGTGGAAGAGACAGGAAAGGATCCATCGCAAGAGGAGTGAATGAAGTCTGCTATAATAAAAATATTCCATCCTTTGCCTGCTTGCCCCTTGCTCCATTTCCCACCCTCTGACTGTAAACTACATTTCCCAGAGTCCTTTGTCAAAAAGGTCAGCCAATAGGAAGCCCTGGCGGGAGCTGGAAAACAAAAATAAGGGAGAAGCCAGGGTATTTCTCCTTCCCTCTCCCTCTCTTCTCTCCTTTGCGCTTTGTCCCTGCACTCATCTTGGCATGGGCTCTGTTGTCCTGGCTGATAGAACAGCTAGCGTCTACTGAGTCCCTCTTCTGTGCCAGGCATTGTTCTAAGTGCTTGACTCTTGTTAGCTCATTATATCCTCACAATAGCCCTATGAGATAGGAATTGTTCCTAGCTACAGATGAGGAAACCGAGGCACAGGGAGATTCAGCTACTTGTCCTGGTTCACAGAACTAGTGAGTGGCAGAGCTTGGATTTGAACTCAGGCCATCAGTCCCCATTCTCAAACTCTAGGCTATACTCATTGCAAATGGGCCACAATTATCACTGTTTGATCAAGTGGGTCAGGTGATCTCTTCTCTGCTCCCACAACCAACCCCGGGGCTATGGAGGGTGGGACAGGAGACCCCTGCGGAGGAAGGAGCACTGGGGAGGGCGCAGGTCTCACCAGATTGTCCAGCTCCGGGTTGGAGGAGAAGAGGGGCCTCTCAGAGCGGACCTGGGAGGAAGAGAGAGACCAGGGAGGGGGCGCCCTGTCTTCAGCCCACCCCTCCTCTCTGGCTGTCCTGGCACACAGCAGATGGGGGTGCCCACCTGCTTGGCAAAGGCAGCGATGTCCTCGTTGAAGGAATCAGAGGAGCATACATCACCACCTGGAGGTGTGCCCAGCCCAGCCCCGGCCCCATCCCGGGGCGAGCACGTGGCCAATTCACATTTCTCAAAGACCAGGGCCAGCAGTGGGAAGAGCGGGTGTCTGGGGGAAGCAGGAGAGAAGGTTCATGAGGGAAAGCAGGGGACATGTGGAGTATGGAGCACCTGGGAGAGGGACAGAAGACCCAAGGGAAGAGATGGAGAGATGAAGACAGAGCAAGCGTGTCAGAGAGACAGAGAAAGGGGCCCAAATCCCAAGACCCCATGGAACCTTCAGTCCTGTCCCCACTCACCCGTAGATCTCATCCTTCTCCCTCCTCAGGCCATCACTGTCCAAGCCCGGGGGCTGGGGCTGGGGAGGCCGGTGGGGGCCATAGGGCCCGGGGGCTCTCGGTGTCGAGGGCACTGCCTCCGAGAAGCCAGCCAGGGCTGCGGTGCTGTCCACGATGCCTCGGTAGTGGGGCAGCTCATCATACTGGGGGGAGGCAAGAGGGGGAGAGCCCCAGGGAGGCATCAGGAAACCTCCCTACCCTGGCATCCAGGAGATGCCCCTCCCTGCCCCCCAGAACCAGCCCTTTCGTTCCCCGTGTCTGAACCCTGCCACCTTTAGACCGCAGACATCATATGGAGCTCTCTGGGTGGGTCTGAAAGCCCTGTCCCACGGTCTTCTCTTATACCCCTGGCCTGTGAAAAATGTTCCATCAGAGATTCTTGATGTGTGGGCAGAAGGGTCCAGAGGAGACAGACTGACCCAGGTCTCAGGTCTGAGGATCAAGGTGGGGGTCAAGGATCAGCTGATGGTAACTCCCAACTCCTCCCAGAGTGAGGAGGGGAGGGGGAGAGGGGAGAGAGCCATGGAGAGATTCAGATAGAGACTAGGAGCAAGATACAAGAGAGAGACAGAGGGTAGGAAAGAGAGGGATGGAGAAGAGAAGATACAGGAGCGAGAGAGAGAGAGATGCTCACTCATGGACACTTCCCACAAAAGCAGCGCATCATTTATGCATAAATGTAAGTCTACACTGTCACTCCCCCTTCAATTTCATCCCACAGTTGTCAAATATGTCCATCTGACTGTACATATTTAACAACTTGTCACACCCCACTCACCATGTGAATCCACCCCTCCACACACACATACACACACAGAGCCAAACACCAGACACAGCAATGCAGGAATGAGTCGTTGAATGAATGAATGAGGCATTTAGCGCATGTGTGAATGAATGAATGAATGAATGAATGAATGAGGCAGGTAGCACAGCGCCTGGCACACATTCCATAAACACTTGTTGAACCCAAGTGGAACCCCGCACAACCGCACAACCCACTTGTGTGATCAGCCCCAAAGCGAACCACTGTCATCACAAAAGCAGGCACGCTGGGGAGGCCAGAGGGGCCTTAAACCACCCAGGCTAAACCATCTCCTTGGGCTTGAGGAAACAGGCTCAAAGAAGCCACGAGACTCAAACAGAAGGATGCAGGCATTCCTGCCATGGGTCGCTGGCCCCTGCCCCTGACGGGTGCGCGCCGATGGCTCTGTGTGTGTATGTCCCTCTCTCCGTCTCTTTCTCTTCCTCCTCTCCTAACTTCTCCCGAGCCCCGAAGTTGAATCCAACTGTTCCCTGCGAGGATGTACAATGGGGTCCTCACAGCCTGCCATGTTCCCACACCCCTGCACCCCCAAAGGTGCATACTCACCTCCTCACCTGAACTCTGATCTCCCCATCCCCAGGACCATAGAAGAGAGAATCCCTCGGCCCAGCCTGGTGAGACCCTCCCTCCCCTCCCAGTACTGTCCCCACCCCTAACCCTCAGGAGGACTTGGAACAAAAGTAGACCGGGGAGGAGGACTGGGGAGGGCAGAAGAGGAAGGAGGGGGTAGGAGAAAGGACCTGAGATGGAGCAGGAGACCCAGGGGTGGAGGGAGGGGGAGACCCGGAGCAGAGACAGGGGAGACCCGGGGATAGAGAGAGGAGGAGACCCAGGGGTGGAGAGAGGGGGAGACCCGGAGCAGAGACAGGGGAGACCGGGGGCAGAGAGGGGAGGCAGAGAAAGAGATGGAGGAGAGGGCGGGACGGGCTGACGGGGGCCGGGGCGCCGGAGTGGGGCGGGGGGCGGGGGGCGGGCGACGGAGGGACGGGGTGCGCGGCCGGGCTGGGGCACGGGGTGCCCGCCCTCAGACCTACCCTCCGGGCCATGGGCTGATGCCGGCGGCAGCTCCCGGGTCCCTCCAGGGCCTGGCCGGCGGGGCGGGCGCAGCCCGGGGCAGCGGCCCCCGACGGGCCGCGGTGCGGACGCCAGGGGGTGGGGCAGGAGACCGGGGGACCGGCCCCCCCACCCCCGCCGCCGTCAGTGGCTGGCGCCGGGCAGCGCGGAGGTTGCGTGCATGGACCCCCGGCACCCTCCCCCCGCGGGGGTCAGGACGAGGGGCTCATGCCGGCGGGGGCGGGGGTGAGCGGGGGGTCGGGCCCCCGGTCCTTTCTCCCCCCCCGGGGTCCCGGGAGGATCGGGGCGGCCCGAGGACGATGGACCGGGAGACTGGGGAGACCGGGGGTGGAGGGAGACTGGGAGGGGGCGCGGGCGTGGGGCCGGGGGGCGCGGGGCACGGGCGGGGGTGGCGGGGGCTCCCCGCGCGGGGTCCCGGCGGCGGCAGGCCGGACGGCTGCCGGCGGCTGGATGGCTTGGTGTCTCCCCGCCTCCCCGTCTCTCCCGGTCTCTCCCGGTCTCTCCCTCTCTCTGTGGTCACATCCGGAAGTTCCACATCGAGATGCTTAACCCACTGTCCGCCGGTGGCTGGGCCGCGGGCGGGGCGGGCGGGGCGGGCGGCCCCTCCCTCCTCTCCCCTCCTCCCTTCTCCCCCCCTCCCCCCCGCCGCCGCCCTAGGGGCGGCCTTTGTGTCGGGGTCTCCCCGGGTCCCCACCCCGGCTGCCCCTGTCCACGCCGCCCTCTCCCCGCACCCGGCCCGGGCCTCCTCTGCCTCCCGCCCGCCGGCCGCCACAGGTCTCTGTCCGCCCGCCCGCCCCCGCTCCCCAGCCGCGGAGCCTCCCGCTCCCTTGCTCTCCATGTCCTTCCCTCTTTGTCTCTCTGTCTCTTTGTCTCTCTCTCTCTTTGTCTCTGTCTGTCTGTCTGTCTCTAGGAGACAAACGTGCAGACAGAGGAGAGAACTGAAGGCTGGAAGTAACCAAACCCCATATTTTAGTTTCTGTTCTTGCTCTGGGCCCCCTAACTTCCCTCCCCTGGGAGCCAAGGATGCTCATGTGCCTGTGTCTGAAGCCATCTGTGTGTGTGTGTGTGTGTGTGTGTGTGTGTGTGTGTGTGTGTGTCTGGTCTGGGGCAATGCCTGGGGATGTGCGTGTGTTTGCAGGGCTGTAGCTGTCTCTGCATATGGTGACTCCTGGGGCTGTGTGTCTGCCTGAGTTCGTACACACAAAATCCGGACCTCAGTCGTCAGAGCGTCAGCCCATGCACGGTGTGTGTGGGAGGGCCGTGTGTGCATGCGCATGGGGGGTTGCACAGGTGTGCAGGCCTGGAGGTGTCCCTCTGTCCCTCTGCCCCGTTTTGACCCCTGCCTTTCACAAGGGTCTCCCCTGCCCTCAGTTTGGGCAGTTTCTGGAATCTGCAAGGTTGAGGGTAAATCATGTACCCACCTGCTCGCATATCTGTCTGGGAGCCGGTCCGCGGTTTTTATCTGGTTCCTGGAGGATCTGGGACCCAGACAGCCTTTGCAACTGGTGTTCCAATGAGACGTAGGAGGGTTCTGCAACAAAAGTTAATATTGAGCTCTGACTGTGTGCGGGGCGGTGTCCTGGAGACATATCAGGGAGAAAAGACAAACTTCCTGGCCTCCTGGCACTCACGTTCTACTGGGGATGGTTGGGGAGAGAGCAGACCAGTAAGTAAGTGTGTAAGTATAAAATAATGCCTGGAGACGACAAGTGCTCTGAAGCAAAGCAGAACAAGGACAGAGGAGTTGATATAAGCTAGACAGGGAAGGCCCTCAGAGGAGGTGACATCTGAGCAGAGACCTGAAGAAAGCAAGGGAGGGAGCCATGTGGACTCCTGAGCGAAGATCACCGGAAGCAGAACAGCAGGTGCAAAGGCCCTGGGGCAGGAATGTCCCTGGTGTGTTGGAGGAACAGTGAGGAGGTCAGGAGGGCAACGGCGGGAGAGGGCAGGAGAGGGCAGGTAGGAGGAGAGAGAGAGACACCTGGGATTCATCATCTCACTGGCTTTTTCTACATTGGGGGTCTTTATCCTCTGGTGTCCTCAAATTCCTGAGGGGATATGCTAATGCGTGTCAGGAGGCCCGTGAACTCTCTGAAATTGCAAATGGTGGGCTTGGTGCCTGTGTGCTCCTTTCCCAGGAAATGGGCCCTTGATTTAGTCCTATTGTCATAAAGGGATACTGGACCCCCAAAAGTTACCCAACCATCACTCCTGAGAGACTGTGCCAAAGAGAAACGAGACAGAGATCCAGACAGAAGGGGGGCAGGGACAGAGATCCAGAAAGAGGGAGACAGAGACGAGGGGCAGAGATCCAGAGGGGGAGGGACAGAGATCCAGAAAGAGGGAGACAGAGACGAGGGGCAGAGATCCAGAGGGGGAGGGACAGAGATCCAGAAAGAAAGGGACAGAGACCCAGGCGGGGTGGGGCACTGAGAGAGGGGCGGAGGCAGGACGCCCACCCCTGCTGGGCTTGCTAAGGATATTTGTATGGCCCTCATAAACAGCTCTGCTCCGCGGCAATCTGCTTCTCCATCCTCCCATCTTGTGGAAGCTAAACAAAACCACCCAGGGCAGGGGTGAGACAGCTGGAGCTAAAGCAGGAGGGACTGGGGTCAGGACAGCAGCAGGACTTCCCGGTGAGAGAGGGCTAGTGAGCAGGGGGCCGTGAGGAGGGCAAGGACAGGACGATGGGATGGCCCTGGTGCCCCTCACTCCTGGGTAGGTTCCCTCCTCCCCCGCCCCAGGCTCAGCTTCATCCCAGAAGCCTCCCACCTCCGGCTCTGGCTCTGTCACTCTCTCCCACGCCCTCACTCTCTCTGTCTCACACGGGACCTCTGACCCTGTCTCTCCGTCCCTGCCTCAACCACCAGCCCTCCAGCCTGGCCATCTCTGGGTGTCCTCCAAGAACCCGGCCCCTCGGCCCCCCTTCTCTCAGCCTCTGTCTCCCCATGGGCTGGATGGGCAATGGGCTTGAGGGGGAGGAGGAGGGAAAATGGTTAAAGCGGAGAGTGCCAGGACCCTGGGGACCCCTGTGTTAGTGGGCACTGCCCCTGAGGCTCTCCGGAGGGACAGGAGCAACTGTCCCTCGGATGACGGATGATGCTGGCCCTTTAAGGAAGGCAGAAGGGAAGGGAAGGGGGCCCGGAGAGCCTTTAATCACTGCCACACACCCCGCCCCCCAGATAGGGGTTTTGGAGCAGAAAATTAATTTAAATCACTTTTTAATTAAAGATGCAAAGCTCTTCTGTCTGCCCGCCCCCCCCCCACGTCCACTCCCTTCAGCTGAGGTTCAGGGTGGGAGGGCCAGGGGTGTGGGCACCCAGGCTCGCCTTACATCTTGGGGGGTATGCTGAGGTCCCCTCCCCAAGCTCACTCTGAAAACAAGAAGTGTGGGGGGTGCGTGGGCAGAGGGAGAGAGGCGACCCTGTCTTCACTGGGGTGGGGGATCCCAGTGAGGCCAGTGAAGGGGTGTGAGTGGGAACCAGGCAAAAACAGCGCTGGAAAGAGACAGGAAAGTGGGGGGACAGGCTGAGTTACAGATGGGGGGAGAGGGAGACAGAGACAGAGACAAGAGTCATCTCTGCCATTGCTCTGAGTTCAGAGGACGCTCCAGCCCCCCAAACAAGGAGGAGGGCCTCTGACTCTTAGGCATAAATCTTTTTAATTAAAGAGAGGAGGGAGATGTTGGCAAGGGGAAAATAGGAGTGTCTGGAAAACTGATGGAGGGAGGGGAAGGGAGGAGGTCTGCAATTTTCTCACTGCCCCGCCCCCCCAGCCTGTCTGTCTGTATCTCACACACGCACACGCACATGCCCGCACGCGCACCCCAGTCTCCCATCTTTCTCTCCGACCTCAGGCCTCCTCTGCCGAGCTGCCTCCCTTATGTGGTCCTTGGACCTCTGGACCCTTGTGTCCCAGGGGAGGGAGCAGGTGGGGTCCAGGCCTGGATCCCGGCAGGCGGGGCTGGGGTGGGGTGGGGGCCCACACTTGCTGACTCTGGTGGGGTCGCATCTCTAAGGACCCCTTAGCACAGATACTGGGGACCTGTTTGGACCCCTGGGCACAGGTACTGGGGAGTATGCGCGTCTGCCTTTCTCTCTGGGTATGTGCGGCTCAGCATGGACACAGACCCCCCAGGTGGGCCCCGAGCCCGGGAGGGGGTCTCATCCTCTAGCTCTGTGCCATCAAGTCATCCATGAGTAGACCTGGGGGACCTGGAGGTCCCCCAACACAGGTTCCCCCCACTTGGCCGCCAACCTCTCGGTGGCCTGGGAGGACCTTCTCCCTCAGTTCAGTCCTCTCTGGGGCTTTGCCCACCAGGTGGCTGTGATTCCCCAGAGACCCCCAGCCATCCCCACCATCAGCTCTCAATGGATGGAGCGAGCAAGGAGCTGCTGGGAGGGGGGGCTGTCTTCTGTCATGGTCCTACAAGCTCTCTGCCTCAGTTTCCCCTCTGTCAACAGCTCGGGGTTTGTCTCTCCATCTCTCTTCCTCCTTCCTCATCCTCGGCTCTCCGCAAGGATCTGTATCTTTGCTCAGGGGTGGGGATGAAGGGACCCTAAACGAGGGTCCCCTGTGTCTCTGTTTCTGTCTTGGGTGTGTGTCCATCTGTCTGTCTCACCTGTCTCTCCCTCCATCTTTTCATCTGTCTCTGTGTCTCCTTTTCTCTGGATGGTCTCTCTGTCTCCCCCTCCCCCTAGCTCATCTGTCTCTGGAGACTGCTGTCTCTTGGTCTTTGTGTTCCCCCCTTTTTCCTCTCCTTCTGAGCCCCCCCACCCCATGGCCCTGGGTTTCCGCCTTCTGTGTCTCTCCCTCACCCCCCACCCCACCCAGGCCCTTCACAGATGCATCGCCCGAATCCCCAGTGCCTCCCCTGCCTGGCTCCAGGAGAGGAAAACATTTATCTTGGTGGGGGGGAGCCCCCCTCCCCACGCCCCCCCTCCGCCTGCCTCCTGGGCCCATCCATCACCAGAGCCGGCAACTCGGGCGGCTCATTTGTCACCGCCGCCTGCCGCCCCACCAAGCAATCATACCATTAGCCATGGCTCAGCAGAGGCCACTGGGAGGACCAGCCTGACCCAGGTGGGGGAGGGGCGCTGGCCACGACTCCCACCCCCAGCCCCACTCCTGTCTTCCTGTCCCTTCCCTCCTTTTTCTTCCAATCGGCTTTCCTCTGCCAGCCTCGCTCCATGCCTTAATGTCTGCTTTCTGGGTCTCATCTCTACTCTGCTCTTCCCCTCCTCCCTCCCCCCCACCTCTCTCCCTGCTCCCCCCCACTTCCCCTCCCTCTCCCTCCTCGCCTCCTCCCCCCTCCTACTCTCCCTCTCGATCCCTCTCTTACCACACGCCTCCCTCCCTGTCTTGAGTGTGTCTGTCTGTCCATTTGTCTGTCTCTTGTGTCTCTCTATCTTTTCCTTCCTATCTCTGTCTCTCGTCTGGATGATCTCTCTGTCTCTCATCCTCACTCTCCCCTGTCTTTGCATCTCCCCGCATCTCCCTCACCCCCACCTGGCCCTGCTGGGTTGGGGGGGGGCTCTGTCTGCTCTCTGGTCCACAGCTCCCTGGCACCG